ATCCACAGCCCAAATTTAGCTTAGCTTCTGTGCAATACTTTTCTATTCTGGATGTTAATTCCTTTGATGCAAACGCTTTGTGTACATGCTACAGGTTGCTAGGATATTAAATGTTTCTGAGGAGGTGAAAGGTCAAATGGGTGTGACCTCTGGGCTGGAGCTGGTGACCCTTCCTCATGGGAGACAGCTGCGGCAGGACCTCATGGAAAGGTAAACAGATGCTGTCAGCATGTGATGTATTAAGCAGATTTTTGATGACTCATAAGGGCGGACAACTCTCTCAGAGAATATTAACTCTTGCATATGATAAACTCACGAAACTGAGTTTTTTGTTGTTGCAGTATCTAATGTCATGTAGGCCACACATTTAACATGCATGGCTGGTTCTTCTTAAACAGGCATAACACTATGGCGATTGGAGTTGCTGTGGATATCCTGGGGTGTACAGGAAGTCTGGAGGAGAGAGCAGCCACCCTAAACCGGATCATTCTGGTAGCTCTGGAGCTGAAAGACTCCATGGGAGATCTTTATGCCTTTTCCTCCATAATGAAAGCACTGGACATGCCTCAGGTACCCAACAGCTCCTTCTAGCTACCACTTGCGCTTGAGACTTTTCCTCCCTTAGTGTGTGGTCAACAGAAACAGGCTTTAATCTGTGTGATCTTTCTTGTATGGACAGATTACCAGACTGGATCATACGTGGACTAGCTTGCGAAGAAAATACACGCAGACTGCCATTATTTATGAGAAATCTTTGAAACCATTCTACAAAGGACTCTATGAAGGAAGTGGTGAGTTTCTTACAATAAAACACATTAAATGCCCTCCATAGGCCACCTTTAGTGAAGTTCTGGTTCTCGTCTTTCTAGCTGAAATCCCACTGAGCAATGCCAGTGTTCCGCTGCTAATGCCGCTGCTCACCTTGATGGAGAGGCCTGTGGTCACCTTTGAAGGTATGGACGTCTGGGAGAACAATGACCAGGGCTGTGAAATCATGTTCCGGCACCTGGAAGGAGCTCGTGCCATTGCACGCAATGCGGACACATACACCTGCAATGCACAACGGATCCTCCAAGGTACGACAAGGCAGTCATTTCAGGAATAAAATAGTGCTTTAACTTGAGGGAACTGGTGAGCCAAAAACATTTATGTAATAGAATGTTCATACGCCATTGGATTGAAACTGATTTGGAATAATGCCGTTCAGGCCATAGTCGTAAAATCCAGAAGAAAATTTGCATTTAAATCATGGGTTGCCTCAAGAAGTTAAAAGGTTTGGGTACCAAAACAAGCACACAGCATGACAAGTGTAGTCTGATTCACGAATCTTAGACTCTTATGAGCTAGTTCTTAAAAAGAATCTCTCAAAAAAGACTCAAACTGTTTAAGAAATCCTTTAGAACAGTTACTAAATTAATATGATTCGTCTACTGAAAAAGTTATTACTTTAGTCATGTCTGACTCACAATGAAGCAACTACTAAAGAAGTGATATGTACTTAAGGTTTCTGAGACTTAAATCAATATAATTACCAACTGGTTCATTATAAAATAATTAAATTTTTACAAGATAATCAAGAAAGAACAAACTAATATTGAGATATTGAAATAAAGTACTAATGTTTTTAACGTAGTGTAATTTAACATTAGCTAAAGTAAAAACAAATTAACAATGAACAATAGTAATCATTAACAGTACCCTAAATAATAAATGCTGTAAAAATTGTTCATTTTTATTTCCTGATATCCATTGCATTAATGACCAGTGTTGGGGGTAACGCATTACAAGTAACGCGAGTTACGTAATCAGATTACTTTTTTTCAAGTAACTAGTAAAGTAACGCATTACTTTCCATAAAAAGTAACTAAGTAACGTAATTAGTTACTTTTTTATGGAGTAACGCAATATTGTAATGCATTACTTTTAAAAGTAACTTTCCCCAACACTGTTAATGACAATAAATTGAAACTTACTGTAAAGTGTTACCAAAAAGTATTCTTTAATGAAACTTTACTCTCTCTCCAGGATTCCAAGCTAATGATGACATGCTGGAGATCTTGAGGACTGATTTCCAGTTGCGTCTGCTCTGGGGCAGCAGGGGGGCGGCCGTGGACCAGACAGAGCGATACGACAAATTCAAACTCATCCTTACGGCCCTGTCCAGAAAACTGGAGCCTCCAGTCAAACACACAGAACTCTGAAAAACCAGACACTTTATATACATATTAGACTCTCTGAACCTCTCTGTGGAGTCAGGTCAAAGGTCATCTGCATCTGAAAAAGGACATTCTCTACCAAAATGTGAGCTTCAATAGATCACATGCAGATTGCAAGTTAAAAGCCATTCATGAGCAGAAATGGCACTTGTCTGTGGAGAGCTAATTTGTTCCATATGCATCTTCCAGAGGCGTGCTGTGCTCCACACTTATGAAATGAGCAGGTACCAGTACATAGAATATTTCTAATTTCCAATATATCATCCACCCTATGAAATACATATAACGTTGGAGGCAGAGAGAACGCTTCATGAGAGGTGTATGGATGTGCTCAATCATATGACACATGACGTTATGGATAAGAGACGACTGAGATTATGGACTACACCTTCAAGACAAATTTGCAGCTCTATGAAGGAACACGAGGTAGTAAAGTTTGTACACTTAGAAATATCATGAAGCCTATTGGTCAAAGCAGTGTTGATATGTTTAAAAATCCCACATGGAAAAAGATGTACATAATCATCACTAGTGTAAGCATGTGAAGGCTAGTTTGTGTAATATATTGTATTAAGTATTATTGACCTGTAAATAGTCACCCATAAATGAAATATTCTGAAAATATTGAATAAATATCTAATAAAGCTTTTTAATTGTTACACACGATTTTTCCTCATGTGTAATATATACTGTATAAGGAGGATCAGTATGTTTTTTTTTTATTCAGCAAGCTTGTGTTAAATTGATTAAAAATAGCATAATTCTTTTTTAATTTAAAGATTTCTATTTTAAGTAAATGCTGTTCTTTCTATTAATCAAAGAATGCATCATGATTTCCACTCAAATATAAAGCAGCACAATGTTTTTAACATTTATAATAAGAAATGTTTCTTGAGCACCAAATAAAAATATCAGAATGATTTCTGAAGGATCATGTGACACTGAAGAATGGAGTAATACCTGCTGAAAATTCAGCTTTGCCATTACTGGAATACATTACATTTTAAAATATATTAAAATACAAAACAGTTCTTCTACTTTGTAATTATATTTTACTATTTTTACTGCATTTTGGATCAGCCTTGGTGAGCCTAAAATATTAGATATCTGGTTAAAAACATTTAAAAAAAATCTTACTGAGCCCAAACTTTTGAACAGTAGTGCGTGTGGGTGTGTGTGTGTGTTATTGACAAAACTATTATCTATAACAGCACATGATGCACTGCAAATACACACTTTCAGGTTAGAATCCTTGGCTGCTGAAAAAACAAGCAATAGTGATGAAATAAATCACAAAATACATCAGGCTAAACACAGACTGAAGAAATAAAAGGCAGGATGAACGAGACAAACAGACATAGGTATTTATTTCTCAGTTGCTCTTGCTCCAACACAAACCCCAGTATATAGTGGTCAACGTTGTCTTACTGTACAACACATTCACACAAAAGGAAGCATTCATATCCGACATCATTCACTCCCTAAAATTTCAATTCAAATGCAACGGGGTAAAAAGTGCATCGGTTAAGACCAGGGTCCTATTGAGAACAGAGTTCAGACAGGAAGAAGAACTGGTTACAAAGCGATTACGGCACGGTTCTTAAAAGCAAAGCCTGAAAGTCACTCGCTCGGTTACAAAAAAAAAACCTTTAAAAAAATCCCGATAAAAACATTCATTCTGAAATAAAGATGTTAATACATAGTACAGTTTAATAATAAAAACTAACTAGGTATATACATATGCATCCATATGCATACACAGTTTTATATGTAAGAATCACATTCACAAATACACGCACTTGAGATCGGATTCTGGAGACGTGTGGTCCCTTGTTTGGAGGCAGTGAGCATGTTCTTTTAGCACATGTGACATCAGGAGCTGGACGAGAAATGAAGAAAGCACAGCAGAGAGCTGGCAGCCCAAGAACAAGCAGTTTTTTGGGGCACCGAGGGTCAGATAGACCCGTTTCCACACAGAGGCCTGTAATGAAGGCAGAGATGATGGTTGGTGTTCAGAGGTCCTCGCTGGCGGTTCTCTGCTTGTTTTATATGGTGTTGGGTCCTCCTGCTGGCTCCTTCCAGCCTCCAAACTATGGCAAAAGGGGGCAGGGCTAGTGGGTGGATGTTGCTGTGGGGACTGTCGCATTGGCTACCGAAGCACCATGCTTCCTCTACTCTGATTGGTCATGCTTTTGAGACTCATGGTTAACATGGAATGCATCAATGTGGAAGAGAAAAGTCAATGGAAACAGACACTAAAAAAGTGGTTTGGATAAAAAGTGGTTAAATCCTAATAAGGGGTCAATTGGTCAGAACGGAATGAGGAATGAAAGGCTGCTGGATCATGCAGGTGCATGTTATGATGAACATGAGATGACGGTACAGACAGACACACATTCCGCTGAATATGTTAGTGCCAGGCAACGACTCTTTTTGGCTTCTCCATTATTGCTCGAGAGCATCTTTCCCCGTTCTCCCAATCCCTCCCAGATATTCCCTGGAATGTCTGCTGCAATGCAATGATGTTAATGGCCATGACACAAACAGCATGCAAACATGCAACCTGCCCCAACACAATCTCGGTCTTAAATTCGCCCCACCGCCCCACTAACAGACCCACAGCAGTGAGTCCCGTCCACCAAACACCACAGAACCCCACTCATCCAATCAGGAACCTGTAGCCACAGAGAAAAGAGAGGACAGAGTCATTGACAGGTCCACCGACAACAAAGATCGATCAGCGACAGAGGAAAAAGATAGAGGGCGCTAGTGAGCCAGCCCAAGTCGATCTTGGATCATATTTATTATATGCTTTCAATTTCAGGGCACACATTAAAAAGGAACTTGTGCCACTACAAATTTAAACAGAAGAGTAGCACTCGCAGGAAAAGTTGAAGTGAATCAGGTTTGGTGCTGCAATGAGGACAATTTAGCAGCAAGGAAATAACACTTTGGAGAAAGCTGGAAGAACTGCATGAACTGAAAGTTCAGAAGTACATACTGTGATCGGACTGTAGAAACAATGAGAAGATGCTCCAAGTAGAGCGTACTTTAGTTACAACATGCATAAAAACATAAGAGCTCATGATTGAAGTGTGACAGTTTTTCTCATTATTATGAGCAAATTACCACTCAGACAAACAGACATTTGAAAAGGAGCTGATGCATTTTGTTCAGATTTGCTCCGACGATATAAAACTGATTAAAAACCATGCATTAAGCACTAATTAAAAATGGAATAAAAGCTATACAAATCTCTACAGTTGAATCTGCTGCAGCAAAGTCACAGTGCAGAGGAAATAGTCACTTTAGCCAGTGTGTCTGTGTGTGTTTGTCCTTGAGCTCACATGGTGAACAAAGGCATATGGCAGTCAGCCGAGCTGCACTTGATGAGTCACGGTAAATCTGACACACGCTCCCCCATGTGTGATGTCATGACTAGGCGGTGCTGCCGTGGGTGATGTCATATGTAGGTGACCGCACCTTTGCTGTTTTTCTCCAGTGTGATCTCCACATAGGACGTGGGGATGTAGCCCTCCTCTCCGCCTTGTTTCCGAACCCTCGTCCATCCGTCACCTTTATCTATCTCTATGACGTAGAGCACCTCGTTCTCGTTCATTACCAACGTGCCTTCGTTAGAGCCTAAGGAACAAACACATTTTTAATACTTTAACAAGAATTTAAGCCACATAGATGAACACAGAAACTATGTGCAAAGTTGTAAACAAGAAACATTTAATGCAAGGTGTTTTTGTACCATCAAAAGAGTAGAGAGCTTTGCAGTGGCCAATAGCAGGGAGAGGATCGTCATCGTCAAACTCGTCGTCAAATTCATGTGGGTCTGGCTGCGGTGGAGACCGATGCTCCTGACTGTGATCATCTGTGTAACTGCCTTCAGGGCTGAAAGAGAGAAGAAGAGCGTCAAAGCACCTTTATGTTCGGTGTGAAATGTGGAGGCGCAAAGCACTTGAATAGGACTGGAGTGCACAGTCGTTACATATGACAACCACTACAGTTCCACTGATATCACATGTTTAGTGATTCATGTATCTTTGTCATTTCTTTTGGTTTACGCACATCAAGACCCAAATAAAAAGAAAATGTAATGAGATTAAGTACATTTGCAAGTAAGTGCACTACTATTCTAAATATGTTTAATGTCTTAAAAAGAAATCTCTTAACATCTTATGCTTACACTCATACATTTATTTGAGCAAAAATACAGTAAAACAGTAATATTGTGAAATATTACAAATTGAAATAGCAGTTTTATATTGCAATATAGTTTTAAATATATTAAATATTCCTGTGATGGTGAAGCTGAATTTTCAGCATCATTACTCCAGTCTTCAGTGTCACATGATCCTTCAGAAATCATTCTAATATGACGATTTGGTGCCTTGAGAAACATTTATTATTATTATCAATGTTGAAAACAGCTGATATTAAATTTTAGTCAATCTGCCCTAGCATTGAATGATTTATGATTGGTATTCCAACTACATGACTATTTGAATCCCACTGCTGTGCCTTTCTACTCATTTATATCTACAAAAATCTTGCAGAACAGCAAGAAAAGCTCAACAGCTCCTCTACTCATGGATTTACAAACAGTTCAGGCACTCATAAAAGAGACGGCTGTATACATAGACATATAGACATATTATTAGTCTGTCTATCTTGAGAATGTAGATAAACGTAATCAGGAAGTGCAGACCTCTCTCTGCCGTGGGGTGCATGATGGTTCACATCTGCACTGGGACGTCGCTCACTACGGGATCCGTGCTTTCCTTCAACCTCTGCTAGCCAACTCTGAGATGGAGAGACAGAGGTGAAGAGTGATAACAGGTCCAAATATTTTGTACTACCAATGAACATCTGTTAAATTCAAAGGCTTATTATGAGAAACTTGATGCAGAATTCGCATTATATCCATTCCTCCACTAGATGGTGCTGACACACAGATCAGCTGTTTTATGTCAAATTTATCTAGATGTACATTCGGAGGCTGTGCTTCCTTATAAGACTGCAACAATAAGCTGATCCTCTGGGAAGGTTACCTCATTTTTATGGATCTCGGAGCGGAGTTTCTCCATGTTGCATATGGTCTCTGAAATCTTGGGCTGGAGACTTCCAGGATCTCCCATCTGAGGATTCTTCTCATAAACATCCTTCATTTTGTTAAGAGCATCTCTGCGACAAAGACAATTATGATATTGAGATACTATCCTCTAGCTATTTAATAGGTTTTTAAGTGTTTAAGCTGTGAGCATGCATGGCTGCAAACACAGGGGAGACAAAAAACGAAGGAAAAAAGTATCAACACAAATAATTAAAATAAATAAATTAATAATAAATTAATATAAATGGATATGATTATTAGTAAAAAATAAAAAAAATAATAATAATAATAAAAAAATAATAAATTCAGGTTTTTATGCCAATAGGAAGTTTAGCCAATAGAAAGATGTTTTTCTCAGCAAAAAAAAAAAAGGGCTACTCGCATTTTTTAATTCAGGAAACAATGCTAGACGGAGAATTTATAGAAACAAACAAACAAAAAGACTGAGTAGCACTCTCCACGGTCTACCTTTGGTCCATTTCTTTCTGTAGTTCTTTATTCAGCTCATCGATCCTCTGTTGAAGTTTTTTGCGTCTCTGTTCAGGAGGAAGGTGGCTGAGGTCCTCTAGTGTTGGTGCCTGTACAAATACAGGTTATTGGTTTGAGGCAAAGAAACACTGACAAGCATCCAGTCGCAGTCGAAGACGGTCGCAGAGCACATGGTATAAACAGCCATTCTTAAGAGAGATGTCCTTCCTAGGGTTTTAATAGGCCCATTTGTTTGCATACATTCTAATTTTGCAATTCCTCTTTATTTATAAACATTTAGCCACACTATAAGAAATACATCTTTAAGCGGTACGACATGAGGAAAGAGAGGGTTTTATTGCAGTCATAGTGTCCTAGAACTAAACACAAAGTCTATTCTTAAACCTCATATCTATACAACAGCAGTCAAAAACACACATCACTTACCAGCTTTAAAGACCACTGAGAGGTTATGGTTACGTCACGCCATTTCAAAAAGAACAAAGACAAATCGCTTATAAACATCAGTCAATCTAATGCATTTTGCTGATGATTTTAATCATGTTTACACAGAATGGCACCATCATATCATAGCTTTAGCTCAGTTCTTGTGAGTAAAGCATGGTTAATATCGCAAGGAAGGCATTTTGGAAGTCTGGTCAGTGGTGAAAAACCTGAACCAGCCTGAAACCTTACAACAATCTGATCTTGGTTTCAAAATTTGTGTTTTAGCTTGGTTATAAAGTAGAAGCAAAAAGAACAACAGGTGATATCGTGGCATTTGGTTTTACAGAAGTAGGCCCTGATGTGGTTTTCGGATCAGTTCATCTGAACTACTAGGAAAAGGTAATCCGTTGGCAGTGTGTTAGTCAACACTAGAACAAATGTTTTAAATAATGACAGCAATCCAATATGCTTCTATTTTAATTGGAATTTGCAAATATTCAGCAGGTTTGTTGCACAATGATTCTTGGCTATATACACCAAGAAAATCTTGAGAAAACAAAGATGGTGCTTGTGAAATTTCAGAATAGCTGTTTCCAGTTAAAAGAGCCATTCACAAATATTAAAGGGGCCATATGATGCGATTTCAATTTTTCCTTTCTCTTTGGAGTGTTACAAGCTCTTGGTGCACAAAGAAGATCTGTAAAGTTGCAAAGACTAAAGTCTCAAATCCAAAGAGATATTCTTTATAAAAGTTAAGAGTCAATCACGCCTACCTAAAACGGCTCGTTCTAACACACCCCC